GATAAGAAAAACCTTTACATGTATGGACAAGGAAATGTTCCTGCCCATCTACAAGGCCCTTGTACGACCTCGAATGGAGCATGCCATTCAGGCGTGGTCACCTTACCTCCAGAAGGATATTAACAAGTTGGAGAAAGTTCAAAGGAGAGCCACGAAACTTATACCTGGACTAGCTGCCAAACCATACGAAGTCCGTCTGGCGGAACTGAACATGACAACTCTGGAAGAGAGGAGACAAAGAGGAGACATGGTAGAAGTATTTAAATTGATACATGGATTTGATATGGTCAGTGCAGGAGAAGATTTCCTGAAACTTGAAACAGACGGCCACAGGGAAAGGACACGAGGGCACACTCTGAAACTCCGGAAGCCGAGGCATCGCACATTTAAACGTAATATGTTCTTTTCATCAAGAATTATTGAACAGTGGAATAAGTTGCCTGAAGAAGTTGTAACGAGCAAGAATGTTAACATTTTCAAGAACAAGTACGACAAACACATCAAGAAGAATACGGAGAGAGGCAGCATCCTATGAGCATCCTGCTCCCTTTGCCTCTTACAGATCTACTTGGTAAGCATCTACTTGGTAAGTAAGGTCATTAGTAGCTACAATTTGTATATCTCGGAATTTTGATATCGGTGACCTAAGGTCAGGTCAATTTCGCGACCTCCCCATTATAAGTCAATGGGGGAAAAATCAACTCCCTGTTTTTACCACTAAAACGGGTCGGAATGGCCCCATATACCATACATGACTTCATATACGATCAACCTTCACTACCTTGAGGTCTGTTTTGCTGTTGGGCAGCTGTGAGGTCATGTGACGTCATCAAAGGTCACCAAAGGTTTTTGGCCAATAACTCCGTACAGGAACAAGATACAGACGCGTGGATGGTCTCATTGTGTTCAGCTCGTCAAGACGCATCGAATGATGTACATGATGACCTCGAGGTCACGTGACCTGAGGTCAACCTTTGACCTTGACCTTTCGAGGTCAACATATATATCATTCGATGCGGATTGACGAGAGGATCACGATGATGCCCTTAGTTTGTTCCTATCTTGACTAATTCGAAAGTTATTCGAGAAAAACTCTCTCCATATCTAGCGCCGCCATTTTGATTTTTTCCACCCCTGTGACGTCATCTTTGACCTGACCTGAAAATGACCTTAGTAAAAATTGTAGATCTTGGCCGTGCGTATCCGATGCCGTTTACCGCTTGTCGCTATCTTGCTTCGTTCTCGAGATCTCAGGGGGGGGCGGTCATCCGCCCCCCCCCCGTCGGTGCGAAGTTGGCGCAGACCCCCGTCGGTGCGCGGGTTAAAAACGTTACAGGCCTGGCTGAGCCTAGCTGGTCCGTTCCTGCTGATTTTTTTAGGTATATTGAAAAGACTCGCTTTGCACGTTTCACGCTTGCTCGTAATGAAAAAGTTCTTGGATGCCTCTGGAATTTGCATGGGTGCCAACGGCTGCGGAGGACAGGGGAACGCGTCCATCAGTTTGAGTTTATGGACGGGAGTCTCCCTGAAATTTAACCAATTTTGTTTTTGTTTTTGTCTATATTTTTTTTTTTACCTCTGAGCATGTTTGCGAAAACAAAGTGGCCGAAATCCGAGGAGAAATTGGATTTTGGGGGTAGGTTAGGTTTTAGACCTCTGGGAGCCTGCCCCCCCCCCCCACTTTCGAAAACGTTCCTACGCCTATGGATAGGGACACGCTCTGGCTGTGTCCCGTGAAAAAGCAGAAAACCAAGAGGATTGGCGCAGCGGTTCTGCCTCATCGCTGGAGACGGTTGCTGCGGAGGGGCAGCGGTTGACGCCGCGGCCGCCGCGTGTCATTAGTGGCGCATTTCGCGTGCACCCAACTACTCTGTCCGAACTGTCGTCTGCACTTGCACAGATGAACAATTCAAAATCCAGTGGTGCCGATGGCATCACAGTGGCCATGCTGAAACAAACGTTTCCAGTTATCGGACCTCACCTTTTACGTATAGTGAATGCATCATTGCATCCATCCGAACAGGAACATTGCCGGATGAGTGGAAGCTGGCCATAGTGACACCCCTATTCAAATCAGGTGATACGACTGATGTTAACTGTTTTCGCCCCGTGTCGGTTCTGCCAACGGTGTCCAAACTGGCGGAGCGGGTGGTATGTAATCAACTGGTGGAATATCTTACATTGCATAATGTTATTTGTCCGGAGCAACATGGCTTCCGTAGGGGTCACTCCACGGAGTCTGCTATGCTCGACGCTGTCCAATTCATAATATCGGAAACTGACAAGGGGAAAGTGGTGTCAAATATTGCGGCCGATATCTCCAAAGCCTTTGACAGCGTCGAGCATGGCAGACTCATGGATAAACTAGGTTGGCACGGTGTGGATGGGCACTGGTTTTCCGACTGGCTTGACGGTAGGCGTCAGATAGTAAAAGGGGGGTCACACCTCCTTCCTGTCACCCATGGCGTGGTACAGGGGAGCACTTTGGGAGCAATCTTGTTCTCGTTATTCACTAATGATGTCGCTTCCCATGTCGTTTGCGATAAAATTGTAATGTATGCCGATGACTCGCAATTTCTCAACAGTTTCAACAAAAACGATATGAATAGTCATAAACACAAAGTGGAGGATATGCTCTCCATCGTTCAGAACTGGTATGACCAAAACGGACTTAAAATTAATCCGGCTAAAACCGAAATGATACTTTTTGGCATGCCAAAACAAGGCATTGGTGGCGACATTATGGTGAACTTTGCTGGTGCGCAGGTGCGGCCAGCAATCAAGATGAAAGTGTTAGGCGTCACATTGGACCCCGAGCTGAAGTGGGAGGACCATGTCTCGATGGTGATCCGGAGATCATACGCAACTTTGGCAGGGCTGGCGAAATTTTCCCATTCTTTACCCACCGCAGTAAAAAAGTTCATTGTTGAGGCTCTGGTCTTCCCACATATAGCGTATTGCCTTACTGTTTGGGGTGGGTGCAGGGATGTCCAGCGGAAACGAGTCCAGAAGGTGCTGAATCATGCTGCCCAAATCACTACCTCATCACGGCGCAACGTGCACGTCACACCGTTGTTCGCTGAGCTTAATTGGCAAAATTTAGACAAACTTATTGTGGAAAAGGATATTCTCACGATTCATAAGATTCTAAAAGACGGAACTTATTCCGCAAATCTAAAAACTCTTGTCGAGTCCCGCGCAGACATATCAGCACGCAGCACCCGGGCCGTTGAAGCTGGGCAGCTCCAGCTACCCAAGGTGCGCACTGAACGTGCCCGGCGCTTCTTTACCTACCGCGCCGTGGCTAGCTGGAATGGAGCGCCACCAGCTGTCCGGGAGGCGCCGACCGTTAGGCAGTGCAGGAAGAATATCAGAGAGAATGCGTTAGTGTGATAGTTTGTGCAATGTTTATATCTTAGGTGTCATTGTTCGTTCGCCTTTTAGGTCGTTTAGTACCGCTCCATTTACTGTCATCTTTTACATATATTTCATGTACCTATTGGATGGTGATTTAGCTTACCTCAACATTTTATAGATGCTGTTATCGTGGTATTTTAATATTCTTATCGTGTTCTTGTATTTTACTTTTCTTTTTGTCTTTTTATCTATGCCCGAGATGTGAGATGATTTTCATGTATACTGACACTACAACGTAAAAGCCACTACGTGGATGTTGTAACGAGCCTAAATAAATAAATAAATAGATATATCGAAAAATAAATTAGGGGGGGGGGGGTAAAAATGCCCCCAACCGCCTGGAAGGATATGTATTAACACACGCAGTGGAAGGGTTACGAGTACTCAGGAAGGGGGGGGGGGGTCATATAAACATATCTCAGGTCCTATAAAAGCTAGAAATGTGAAATTTGGGTGGTAAGTGAACGTGTCTGCCAACTTCATTGTCTGGGAATAACATGACCCTAGGTCAATATCTCCAAGGTCAAATGAGGTCAATCGTCGTCAAATTTGCCACATTAGTGACTTGTTTACGTCTATACGCCGATAACTTAAAAAGCTACTGGCCGACTCTCCTACTTCGTTCATTTTACGACAAAGAAAATATTTGAGTACCTATGTATGGCGAATCTATGCTTAATTAACAATAAATATGGCGGTTAAAAGCAGACATGTGCATGGATCCGAGTGATGGGTTGATCTCAGTGGATCTCGAAAGAAACTGCAAGTCAGGATCTAACTATAATCTCACCGGATCCGCAATTAAACATTTATCCTGGATCTATGATCTTATAGGATTTGACGATAAACTAAGAACATGGATCTATGACCTGAGTGGATCCCACCATGCACAACATTTGAAACTATTTTTTCAGGCGTTTCTATGGCAGAAATGACACAGAAGTCAGAACCAGAACTGTGAGTTATGGCGTGCAATCATATAAATCAATAAAAAAAAACAGAGCGTTTGTGAGTTGAAAAAGTGAATTTTTGAGATTTTTGTGTTGACAAAAATTAGTGAAGATGATAAGATCTATTATCTTACTGGGTCTCAATGAAAAAATTTGGCTCGGACCTGTGATACAAGTGGATCTCTTAGTAAACTAAAAAGCTGGGTCTATGATCCCATCGGATCCGAGATCAGGAGTTCTGGGAATAAATCCCAGACTCATTTTCTGGGATCCATGCACAACTGGTTAGAAGCCTGCAAAGAGTTATATGTCGCCGGCTGGAGCGGGGGATCGGCCGACGCGTAAAATGCGCATTCAGTTTCAATTTCAAAAGCTTGTTCAAATTTTATACTTTCTCATGGTTTGTTTGGTTTTGTATAGGTATCTCAATATTCTAATGGAAATCTGTGGGGGGGGGGGGGGGGGGTCAGTGGGGTCCATCAGTAACGCGCAGAAAAACAGTAAAACTCATCTGTATTTAAGACACACGATATTTGAGTCAACAATGAAAAAAAGGAAATTGAGTAAGATCTTGAGTAAAAAAAAACTGTACCTATTTTCAGGTACCTACTGGACAAGTTCCACATTACTTACCTGCAAAAATATGTTCTTGTAAAGCAGCTGACTGGTTAGAGCCTCAGTAAGTCGAACGCCGTGGTCCTTGTATGAGTCCTGTATGAACTCCGAGTCGAATTCCACGGACACCCGTGATATGCCCAGTCTGACGGGTAGCTCGTCATGAAGCAGCACAACAGGAGAAATTCCGGATCTGGAATATTGGAAAAGGCACAAAGTTTTAACAACCTCCAACGTCGCGCGTTGGGTGCCGTTGCCGAGCTTCCACATCCTTTACGGTGACATCATTTTTTTTTTCAGTCTTCTCGTGCCGAACATACCTTTGCAAATCGCAGAAGAACGTTTTTATGTTCCTGGCATAATCTTGGTAGATGCCTCCTCCTGCTGTTTCATCATAATTCCTATCCTCAAGTGATACCATGAGGTCAATGCCATCAATCACCAACGGGCAGTTGGAGATACATTCTTCACGAAGCAGGCCGTGCTTTTGTGCAAACGACGTCAGGTATTTGACCATCTCTGTAATATATGAGGATTCATGACGTCAGTTACCACATTATCATTGACATATCTTGCCACGCATGACGTGTATATGTCGGCTTTTTTAGAATACACTTAGCCCCATTAATCTATCATCAAAGACTGAAACATGATTGATCGAAACAAAATTGATCGATAGGTATCGAGTATCGAACATACTACATATCCAACCTGTTTTCATTATCTCTTTCTGGATTAATAGACAACACAAATCATGACTGACATGATTTCTATTCCTCGACCAAATCAATTACGACAGCTATCGTCACTTTTAACATCCGTTATAAGAGTTTATGCAGTACTTACACAAAATCCAACAAACATTAAAATTGTTGATGACATCTCACGACTCACCGTTTGCTTGATCCGGGAAATGTTGCTGTCAAGTAGCCACCATGGGGTCGTCCAGGTCAGTCTAGGTGACACACGTCACCAAAACGCAGCTCCACCGCCGGCCGCGCCCAACTGTCTGACCCGAGACCGCTGGTCCACCCTTATCCGCCCATCCACGGCGCCACCCGTCCCCTCCCCGCAGCGATTAGACCAATCGCGTTGCACAATACCGTCATCAGGTGATCACTTATCTTTGTGTTTAGTTGAGAGCAAGCCCCTTCGGCCTGAAAAATGCAGCACTACATGGGATGATAAGATAGAGTATCGGAATACACAGACTACCCACATGGTGCGCCGCGGCACGGGCCACGGGGGTGGAACGGTGACGTTGTAACGAAATTCGTTCCTACCCCATCCTCCACCTCCCTCTGTACCTACTTACTGCCCAGCCCCCTCGCCCACTTACAATATCCTTATATGGTCCTCACTCCTCACATGCGACGCCTGTCCTTGCCCGCTTCTGATTGGTGCTATGATATGACGTACATCTATATGTATGACGTGTGTGTATGACGTTTGAATATAGCGGCCGACGCCGAACGCCGAGCAGGAGCTGTGAAAGATTCATTCGAAAGCCAACCGCCGTAGCGGCCTGACGTATCGTTATTCAAAGTCTCGGCCGACTGTTTATTACTTTTGGATTCTGTCCTCAAATTTGCAATACATACTTCAAGAAAAGAAAAACCGTGTTGGTTATACGGCTCGAACAAGAGGTCCCCAAACAGACTATCACAGAAGAAGAAATTGTTTATTTACTTATTACATTTGTTACAAATGGTGCCGTGACCCGGATCTAAATAAAAAAACTCAAGAATTGAAATTGGTTCCGCAAGAAATTGCTCTACAAGTCTACGAACAGTAAGCTGTCACTCTTTCCTCTCTTTTCCCTGAACGTCTTCGCCCACATTTTCACATTCGATGGTTCAACTGTTATTGTGCCTGTGTATATTTGTGTAATTTTTGCATTGGGTGACTGTTATCTCCGCAGATGTTTTCGTGTGTCAACTGAACTGTTTATTTGTCAACGCTCCATAAACACCACTTGTTTGTATTCGCTGATTGATTTATACTTACCAGAGTTTTCAAAATGTCCGAGGCAGTCATCACCAAAGCGCTCCAAAATATTTGTCAGGAACTCCGTATTCAGGGTCTAACTCAGCACATCCGAACATTCTCCGGGGAGGGTTCCGCCAAATTCGCCCAATGGTTAAACGACATGGATCAGATATCTATTACCTGCGATTCAGAGCGTATGTGTGTTTTGGCGACCATCACTTTAAACGGATCCGCTGGTGCGTACGCTTCACGCATGCTAAAAGAAAACCCCCAAATCACGTGGTCGGAACTCCGACGCAAACTAAAGGAAAGGTATAGCGAAATGACTGATCCGTACCTGGCTTCGGAAAAATGCAGACGTCTAAAACAGAACCGTGGTGAGTCGGTACAAAATTTTGCTGAAAAGCTGCGGACAATGGCATCGGAGGCATTCGAAAATCTCTCTACCCCTGAGGCGCAACGCTTCCTAGTAGAAGTGTTCCAAAAAGGCGTGAGCGACGACAGCTTGGCGCGAAACTTGATCAGGAAAAGATTCACTAACCTCGATGACGCCCTCGCTTTCGCTGAAAGTGAGCAGCAGGCCGACAGGACTTTCCAAGTCTGCCGCCATCACTCCCCTCCTCAGTCCGACGTCGAACCCATGGACTGCAGCGGTATTCAGTCCGCTACAGACTCTGAACTTCGGACCACTATTCAGAATCTAACCTCCCAAGTGCAGCGAATGTCTCGCGACATCCAAAAACTGAAACCGCAAAAACGTGCTCAGACCGCCCCACCGCAGGTGCGCTTCAACGTACCTCCGACTACTCCCCCACCGACTTACTTCAACGTTCCCCCGACAGCTCCCCCGCAAGTCCGCTTTGATGTTCCACCCCCGCTGATGTCGTACTATGGCAACGTACAAACTCCCCCTCAAGTCCCTCAGACTCCCAGACCGAACTACCAGTGGACTGAAGATGGATCCCCCATCTGTATCGCTTGTGGCACACCTGGACATGTACGCCGTACGTGCCGACGCAACCCAACCCGTCCTCCTCCCCAAAGTACCCAGGGAAACGCGAACGCGCGTCTCGAAAAATAGCGACCAGAAACGCGCCAAAGAAAGACGGTCCGAAACGGAAAGTTTCTACAAAGAAACCTGGACCGCAAGCAGCACAAATTAAAATTAAACCTGATACGCCGATGTGCTATGTATCTCTAAGCGACCAAAAAGCTTATTCGTTAGTAGATTCAGGAGCGGACATATCCCTTATTTCACGTGAAGCTTTTGATAAAATTCAGTGCAGGAAAATCAAGGGTTTTTCTACGAGGAACTGCGTTCCTATTCGTTCTATCTCTGGTCATAGACTCACAAACTTCGGAACGGCCGTACTACAAGTCAAAATTGCAGGATTTAATCAACCGTTCAAATTCCAAATCGTAGAAGGTCTGAAAAACGACTGTATCCTAGGCAACGACTTTCTCTCCGCATTCGGTGTTCAATTGGATTTTGGACAAAAGACGATGAACCTCAACGGTAACGTCATCCCTCTGCGACCGCAACGTCTGACTTGCCAAACGACGACATCTTTGGTTCGAGTGCCTCACAAAGTTACAATTCCTGCTCAGTCGTATATAGAGATTCCCGCGTTAATCAACCGTGTTCAATTGCTAGATCAAGATTGCATAGTTCAACCTTTGAGCAATGCACCCGTTCTAGGAGAAGAACCTGGTTTGTGTTTGGTTGAAAGTGTAGGTCGCGTAGACAAAAACAAGCGTATTACAGTCGTGATAGTGAACGCCACTGGTAGGGATTACGTTTTGCCTTCTCGATCAGTCATTGGCATTGCGGAAGTTTTAGAAGACCCGGAAGGATGCATATTTACAGCTAGTGAGGAAGGTGACCAGTGTAGTGAACCGTCAGATGACGTCCCCGAAAGTCAAAAAGCGCGATTGTCACATGTGTCCGAAGGTCAACGTAAAAAGATACAAGACTTCTTGGCCCAAAATGAGGATTTGTTTGCAAAAAGTGATTTGGATTTAGGTTGTACTGATTTAGTGAAAGCAACAATTGAAACTGGTGATCATCCACCAATTAAACAGCGACCTTACCGATTGCCTTTCAGTCAGAGAAAACTTGTAGAAGAGCATATACAAAAAATGTTGCAGGCTGGCATCATTTCCCCTAGTCGTAGTCCCTGGTCTAGTCCGATTGTGATTGTAGATAAGAAGGACGGACAAAAACGGTTGTGTGTTGATTTGCGTGCTTTGAACAAGATCGTTGTCAAAAATAGTTACCCTCTTCCGCGCATAGACGACATTTTGGCTTCGCTTGAAGGTGCGAAATATTTCACTTCTTTAGATCTCCGCAGTGGGTACTGGCAGATAGCCATGGATCCCGAGTCAAAGGCCAAAACGGCATTCACTTGTTTCATGGGTCAATACGAGTTTGAAAAGTTATGTTTTGGGTATGTCAATGCACCCAGTCTATTTTCAGAGCTTATGAATAAAGTACTGTGGGGCATTCAACACAAATTTACTATTGCGTATTTGGATGATATTTTGATCTATTCAAAAACCTTTGAGGAACATTTAGAACATATAGATGCAGTCTTTTCACGTTTGAGAGACGCTGGCTTGAAATTAAAGATGTCAAAATGTGAGTTTTTGAAACAAGAAGTAAAATACCTAGGCCATGTAGTTACTCCATCTGGTATCAAACCGGATCCCGAGAAAATAAGTGCAATACAAAATCTCCGTCCTCCGACAAATGTCAAAGGCGTCAGATCATTCCTTGGTATGTGTGGATTCTACAGGCGATTCGTTCCAAATTTTGCAAGGATAGCCAAACCATTGACAGAGCTAACAAAGAAAAATCGTCGTTTTTATTGGGATGATGCATGTCAGTCTTCGTTTGAAACTCTTCGTTCAGCTTTAACAGTTGCACCAATTTTGGCATATCCGAACGTGGATAAGCCGTACAAGTTATATACTGACGCGTCACAAAACGCCATAGGTGCTGCGCTAGTCCAAGAGACTGAATTGGGTGAAAGAGTCATCCAATATTTGTCGCATCAGCTCAACGAAACCCAGCAACGCTGGCCTACTATCGAGCGAGAAGCTTATGCGATTGTATATAGTGTACAAAAGTTCCGTCCCTATTTACTCGGTTGTAAAGTTACGATTATGACGGACCACCAGCCCCTCAAGCACCTGTTCACCAGTGAAATGAAGAATGCTAGGATTCAACGTTGGGCGATTATATTAGATGAGTATGGATGTGATATACAGTATATTAGTGGACGTCAGAATGTAGTTGCAGACGCATTGTCGCGACTGGACACCTCAGGAGAGGATTGTCACACGGATATCCCAGGAAATGGATTAATGACTAGTAAGTCATTACCGTGCCATGTCGACGAATGCGTAGACACATTCGGTGTAAATAATGAATCTTCGTGCAGTGTGAATGTGATTGATTCCGATAGAGCGCCTGACATTCAAGTAGAGACTGAAGTGCAAAGAAGTGAGTTACCTGAGGCTCCTCCCAAGGAAAAATTCAAAGAGTTTTTACAAGGACATCCCGACCTTGGTTTACTTCAGAGAGAGGATCCCGAGATCCAACAATTGATCAAAGTATTACAGGACCCAAATCATTCGAACCATGCTGTAGTGTCTCGTTATTATATTTTGGAAGACGGTCTACTATATCGAGTTTCTGATCCGTCCAAATACCCCTCATTTCCAGGTTTGCAGTTAGTTATTCCCAAGCCCCTACAGAAACTGATCATCGAAGAAATTCATTCAGGCTATTTCGGCGGACACTTAGGTATAGATAAAACGTACGACAAGATCCGTTCACGTTATTTTTGGTCCGGTCTATATCGAGACGTTGTTCAGTATTTAAAAACATGTGTCGCCTGCAATATGCGCAAACTCAGACGCGAGCGACCCCCTCTGCAAGATATGCCAATCCCAAAATTTCCTTTCGAGCAGATCGCAGTAGACACGTCCGGTCCGTACCCTGAAAGTTTCCAAGGAAACCGGTAC